ATCCCAGCTACGGGTGCGGCTGAGCCAGGAGAATGACTTGAACCCAGGAGGCGGAGGTTGTAGTAAGCCAAGATTGTGCCACTGCACTCCAGCCTGGGTGATAGGGCAAGATTCCATCTCAAATAAATAAATAAATAAATAAATAAATAAATAAATAAAATATTAAATCCTTCTGGCTGGGCACGGTGGTTCACACCTGTAATCCTAGCACTTTGGGAGGCTGAGGTAGGCGGATCACCTGAGGTCAGGAGTTGGAGACCAACCTGGCTAACATGGTGAAACCCTGTCTCTACTAAAAATATGAAAATTAACCAGGAGTGGTGGCACATGCCTGCTAATCCCAGCTACTTGGGAAGCTGAGGCATGAGAATTGCTTGAATCTGGGAGGCGGAGGTTGCAGTGAGCCAAGATTGTACCACTGCACTCCACCCTGGGCAACAGAGTGAGACTCTGTCTCAAAAACAGACAAACAAACAAACAAACAAACAAAACAAATCCCTCAAAATCACCTTTGGAAAAAGGCACAGGCCTATCTCCCAGGTAAGCGTCCTTGATTTTGGCAAAATAAACTTGTAAATTGATTGAGACCTGTCTCAGATACATTTTGGTTTACAGGCTCAGTGCAGATCTTGGAAAATAATGAATATTCTTAGGTTATAAGGGATGGAAGGATAAATTCTCATAATTATCAGCTCCAGCATTCTTTCTGTAGGAACAAACAATGCTAAGTAAAAATCTTACCTTTGTTATTTCACCTTTTTTGTAGGTTATGATGACTCCATTCAAACAACAACTTTCATAGTTGCTGGCCAAACAACTTTCTGTCTTTGCCTTGGAAGTCAGTAGGACATGAATATATCATTTCTAATAGATGAAATAAAAACACTAGTGAATATTTGGAAAAATAACGAGTCATCAAAGAAATGAAAATTAAACTAACATGAGGTTTTTTTTTGTTTTTTTTTGAGACAGAGTCTCACTCTGTCACCCAGGCTGGAGTGCAGTGGCTCGATCCCGGCTCACTGCAACCTCCGCCTTCCGGGTTCAAGCAGTTCTCCTGCCTCAACCTCCCAAGTAGCTGGGATTACAGGAGTGCGCCACCATGCCCAGCTAATTTTTGTATTTTTAGTAGAGACGGGGTTTCACCATGTTGACCATGATGATCTCGACCTCCTAATCTCGTGATCTGCCTGCCTCGGCCTCCCAGAGTGCTGGGATTACAGGTGTGAGCCACAGTGCCCGGTCTTCTTTTTTTTTTTTTCTTTTTTTTGAGACAGTGTCTCACTCTGTCACCCAGGCTGGAGTGCAATGGCACAATCATGGCTCACTGCAGCCTCAACCTCCTGGGCTTAAATGACTCTCCCACCTCAGCCTCCCAAGTAGCTGAGACTACAGGCGGACAGGGTTTTACCATGTTTCCCAGGTTTATCTGAAATTCCTGAGCTCAAGCGATCCTCTTGCCTTGGCCTCTCAAAGTGCTGGAATTACAGGTGTGAGCCGGCATCATGCTCAGCCGAGAGTTGTTTTTTTTTGGGGGGGTGGTGGGGGTGGGGTCACCAAATTAGCAAACAAAAAACTTCACCTTCAAAAAATAAGTCCTTTTTTTTTTGAGACAGAGTTTCTCTCTGGTCACCCAGGCTGAAGTGCAATGGCACAATCTCCGCTCACTGCTACCTCCACCTCCTGGGTTCAAGCAATTCTCCAGCCTCAGCCTCCAGAGTAGCTGGAATTGCAGGCACCTGCCACCATGCCCAGCTAATTTTTGTATTTTTACGGGGTTTCACCATGTTGGCCAGGCTGATCTTGAACTCATGACCTCAGGTGATCTGCCCGCCTCGGCCTCCCAAAGTGCTGGGATTACAGGTGTGAGCCACTGCACCTGGCCAGCTCATTTCTTTATAGTGCTGCATAATATTCCACTGTCTGGATGTACCATAGTTTATTTATCCATTCACCCATTGAAGGACATCTTGGTTCCTTTCCAGTTTTGGTAATTATGAATAAGCTGCTATAAACATCCATGTGCAGATTTTTGTGTGGACATGTTTTACTTATACTCAATTCTTACTCAGCTCCTTTGGGTAAGAGTATGTTTAATTTTGTAAGAGACAGCAAACTGTCTTCAAGAGTGGCTGTTCCATTTTGCAATGAATGAGAGTTCCTGTTGCTCTATAAAAATCCACTGTTTGAAAGAGCTGGCCGGACAAGGTGGCTCAAGCTGTAATCCTAGCACCTTGGGAGGCTGAGGTTGGAGGATTGCTTGAGCCCGGGAGTTCAATATCAGACTGGGCAACGTGGTGAAACCCTGTCTACAAAAAATAGAAAAATTAGCCAGGCATGGTGGTGCATGCCTGTAGTCCTAGCTATTGGGGATGCTGAGGTGGGAGGATTACTTGAGCCTGGGGAAGCAGAGGTTGGAGTGAGCCAAGATCATACTACTGTACTGCAGCTTGGGTAACAGAGCGAGACCCTGTCTCAAATAAAAATAAAAATAAACCAAAATGGTAACAGTGATTATATTTGGATGGTAGGATGATGGGTGATTATTTGTTTTTCTTCCTTTTCCTCCCCCCACTCGTTTTCTTATCTCCCTCTCTCTCTCTGGTGAGGGGAGTGTCTTTTTTCCCATGTACTTTAACAAATGACTATGTATAATTTTTTTTTTTTGGAGACCGAATTTCACTCTTGTTACCCAGGCTGGAGTGCAATGGTGAGATCTTGGCTCACTTCCCAGTTTCAAGCGATTCTCCTGTCTCAGTCTCCTGAGTAGCTGGGATTACAGGCATGTGCCACCACGTCCGGCTAAATCTGTATTTTTAGTAGAGATGGGGTTCTCCATGTTTGTCAGACTGATCTCGAACTCCCGACCTCAGGTGATCCACCCGCCTTGGCCTCCCAAAGTGCTAGGATTACATGTGTGAGCCACCACACCCGGCTATGTGTAATTTTTATAGTCAGAAAAAAGATACTTTAATTTTTAAGGAGTCATATGTATTTATATTAACCCTCATACATACAAGCACTGTAATTAGAAGAGTAAGTACAGTACTGTAATTGTAATAGTTTTGTTTGCCCAATGCACAGTGAGTCAGCATACAGAGACACCCGGCTGCAGCAAAGAAAGAGTTTAACAATCACAGGGCATCTGAACGAGGAGATGGGAAGAAGCCTCAAATCCACCTCCCTGAGAGGTTTGGGGGACAGGGTTTTTTAAGTCCTCTGGACAGGGACTGTAGTGTGGGGATCGATGACTGGTCAAGAAGTGAAGGGCGAAGTCATGACACAGGGAGACTAAGAAACCTCATTCTTGTGCTGAGTGGGTTCCTTAGTGGGGTATGTCAGAATTCAGAATCTGAAAAACAAACAGTTCTTGAGCAGAAAGATCTTATGAGTCTAGCGTCAGAAATTCTTACTCATGGTAAGAACCGTGGGGAAACAGGTAGCAGGTGGTCTAGCATGCTGGGTGATGTTCTGTGAGTTAGCAGCTGCAGGGAAGTGGGTCAAAGTACACTTGTGCACCCTAGATAATAGCTAACTATATATAATGCTGTCTTAAAGCCTGGCTTGTAACTCTCCTTAATCCTGTGAGGGCAGTTTCAATTCTGTATTTGCTTAAAAAGATTAAGGTGGCTGGGCTCGGTGGTTCATGCCTGTAATCCCAGCACTTTGGGAGGCCGAGGTGGGTGGATCACTTGAGTTCAGGAGTTCAAGACCAGCCTAGCCAACATGGTGAAACCCCGTCTCTACTAAAAATACAAAAATTAGCTGGGCGCAGTGGTGCGTGCCTGTAATCCCAGCTACTTGAGAGGCTGAGGCAGGAGAATTGCTTGAACCCGGGAGGCGGAGATTGCAGTCAGCGGAGGTTGCAGTGAGCTGAGATCGTGCCACTGCACTCCAGCCTGGGCGACAGAGTGAGACCCCGTCTCAAAAAAAAAAAAAAAAAAAAAAAAAAAAGATTAAGGTGTGGGAGTGGGACAGACTCAGGCTACTTAATATTTTTCTGTAAAACAGCAGGGAAAATAGTTTCTAATTCACTGGACGTGACGGTCCTGCAGGTAAAATTCTTTTTCTTATTTATTTAGTCAATTCTAGCAGTACCTTCTAACTTTGTTTGTTTGTTTGAGACAGGGTCTCACTTTGTTGCCCAGGCTGGAGTGCAGTGGTGTGATCACGGCTCTCTGCAGCTTTGACCTCCCGGGTTCAAGTGATCCTCCTGCCTCAGCCTCCCAAGTAGCTAGGACTACAGCCGTGTGCCACCATGCCCGGCTATTTAAAAAAAATTTTTTTTTGTAGAGGTGGGGTTTTGCCATGTTGCTCAGGCTGGTCTCGAACTCCTAGCTCAAAGCCTTGGCCTTACCAGGAGGGAGCCACCGTGCCGCGCCAGCTAAAGTTCTTGATACAGGTTCTGGCACATAGTATATGTTTAATAGATATTTGTAATTCTGATGATTTCAGTTATGTACCATTTACAGGCGTTTGTAACCTTTTTAGCTAACAAGGTGGGCATTTAGGGAACTGATTATGGAAAGCATTGCTCAGAAACCAGGACTGGTTCTGCGACGTCTTAACGAGGTGCGGGTGGCCAGTGTTTTCCCCAACTGTTGAAAATCTGTTTAGAGGTGGGAGGGCAGTCTAGCCTCAGGCGGAATAGGAAACCTTCCTTATGTCTAATTTCAGTGTCAGAGTCTGCTATTTCCTACGCGGAACACCGCCCCAAACTAATGTCTACGTTTAACTCAACTGCGGTAAATTTCCTTCCATGGCACTATTAACCTGGCCCTGCCCACATGTCCGCTCCCGGTTGGTGTGAATGCTCCAGGGTTAGCTCAAACCTCAGCGATTTTCCCAGCCGATTGGCTGTGCAAGTAGACAATCCTTTTGCTTTTCTGATTGGTCGCACGTGGCATGGAGGACGTGGGCGTGTCTCGCCGGAACTCGCTGAGCTGTCATTTGAAGATGAACAGGGTATTGCCAGAGCTTCGTGGCGTCGCCTACGGCGCTCCCTCCCTCCTAGGCCTTTACTATCCTTTGCATTGGTCAGATGTGTCGTCACTCATAAAACTTCTAGCTCATTGGTGCAAAAGCTCCAGGAGGCGGTGGGTGATTGGTTGGTTGCTGTTCCTATCTCCACGCCGGCTGTGGTTTAGCTGAACTGAGCCGAAATCCTAAAGGCCGCGGAGTCGGCGGTGATGTAGGTAGCGGTGCCTTGAGTGGCAACAGGTGAATCTCCGGCTCACCTGGGGCGGCAGCACGCAAGACCTGGCTGGATCTCCGCTTCGTCTGCGGGCCAGAAACTGGAGGGCGGCGGTGGCTTGCGGAAAGGTATTGGGCTCCGCTGTTCCTTCTTTGCCCTCTCGACGGCCGGAGCAGCGAGGAACCGAAGGAGGCTTCGTAGGTTCCACGCAAGGCCCTCTCTCTGCTCTTCCAGGGGCGCACAAGTTGAGAAGGAGCGGCCTGGCGGCCCAGGTAAAAAAGGCATTCGGCGTTCTTCCCCGGCAGCCGGGCGTGCCTGGCTGCCGCGCACGCTCACCTGGGCCACAGTGCTCGTTCGTGCCGACGTTTCTCCCTAAAACACTTTTGGCGCTTGGGGCCGGGAGAGTGAGCATGCCAAAAAGGCCCTGTAATCGGAGCCATCATACCCCAGAGGGTCTTCAGCGGCGCAGGGGTGTCAGGACCGCGGGGGTCTGGGGCACATGAGTAGCAAGAAGAGGAAAGAGAAGGGAGAGGGAGGTCAAAGGGGTGTGTCTGTGCGGTTGGCAGGGGGAATCTGTGGAACTATCTGCCTCAAGGGGCATCTGAGCGGGAAATACCTTCCCTCCCCCAGCATGTTCCATATTTGTGAACAGGAAAAATTCTGGGCTCGCTTTCTCTCATCCTAGAAAGGAATGTTGTGTACTTGGGCGTAATCCATGATATTAAGCTACTGCTGGCCACTGTTGAATTTCAGCGGTGAGGACTGTGGAATTTCAGCGGTGAGGCCTGTGGACCTCCCCTCTGTGGTCACCAGAGTTCGAATGAATGGTTGATTGCCTATCGTCTTTGTGTCTTCCCCCTCCCCTGACCAGGAGTAAAGCTTTCTTTGGTTAGCAATTTAAAAGGAAAATAAATCACAGTCTCTGGAACAAGGATATAGGTTTTTTTTTTTTTTTTTTTTTTTTTTGTATTATTTTAAAAAATAGAGGCAGGGTCTCGCTGTGTTGCCCAGGCTGGTCTCGTACTCCTGGCCTAAAGCAATCCTCCCGTGTTTTGTGTTATCTTAGTAAGCAAAAAATAAAGTGATCCTATTGCTTTGGCCTCACAAAGTGCTGGAATTGCAGCGGTAAGCCACCCTACCTGGTCTGAAGATCTTTATAGACTTCCAAGAGCTTGGTTAGAGGTGTAGACCCAGCACTGCTTTTAAGTCTTTACTTAGAATGTCAAGCTCACATTTCAAGTAGGCTGATCTCAAAGAGACTGTACATTTCTGTAAAGTTAGTCTAACTTTGCTATTGATGTACTTTATGTAAGCTACCATGATCTCTACTGAAAAATAAAATATTGAACATTTATGCTGTTAGAAGTCAATATAGTGATTACCTTTTATGGAGTAATGACTGGGAGGAGACACAAGGAGAATTGATCTAATAATCATCTTTTTGTTTTTTTTTTTTTTTTTGAGATGGAGTCTCGCTATGTTGCCCTGGGCTGGAGTGCAGTGTCCCAATCTCAGCTCACTTCAACCTCCACCTCCCAGGTTCAAGTGATTATTGTGCCTTAGCTGCCTGAGTAGCTGGGATTGCAGCTGTGCACCACCATGCCTGGCTAATTTTTGTGTTTTTAGTAGAGACAGGGTTTTGCCATGTTGGCCAGGCTGGTCTTGAACTCTTGACTTCAGGTGATCCGCCCACCTTGGTCTCCCAAAGTGCTGGGATTACAGGCGTGAGCCACTGCGCCCAGCCTAATAAATCATCTTTTCTTGATTTGTTTACATAGATGTGTTTGGTTCATGAAAATTTATTGAACTTTACAGTTATGTACATTTATATCTGTATGTAAACTATACTTAAATAAAAAGTTCTAAGAACTGGTTGAGAGAAAGGTGATAGTTACAGCAATAGAACACTGGATACTGGCTGGGCCTGGTAGCTCACGCCTGTAATCCCAGGACTTTGGGAGGCTAAGACGGGAGAATCACTTCTTGAGCCCAGGGGTTCGAGATTAGCCTGGGAAATATAGTGAGACCTAATTTTCACAAAAAATACAAAAATTAGCTGGGCGAGGTGGCGAATGCCTGTAGTCGCAGCTGCTCTGGAGACTGAGGTGGGAGGATTGCTTGAGATGGGGAGGTTGAGGTTGCAGTGAGTCGTGATTGTGCTGCTGCACTCCAGCCTGGGTGACAGAGTGAGACCCTGTCTTAAAACAAAAGACTCAAATGAAAACTGGATGCTGTGGTGCCTCCTCAACTCTGCCAAGTTCTCTCTCTTGGCAGTGAAGCTTCCCAACGTTGAATTTCTTTGCCTCTGAAATGTCTTAGGTTATTTACTAGGCTGTCTGCTAGCCATAGGGAACTACTACGTTTCCAAGGGATATAGTTGTTTAACCTGCCTTAAAGACTTTGTTTTATATTGCATAAAATAAACAGCTTCTCTGCTTCACAAATTCTCATTTCAGTACAGTTTAGAATGAGGTATAGTTGTATTTGTTGTATCATTGCTTCTGTACTTCTGTTTTTTTTTAAAAATTTAATTAATTAATTTATTTTTTGAGACGGTCTTGCTCTGTCACCCAGATTAGAGTGCAGTGGCGTGGTCCTGGCTCAGTGCAACGTCTGCCTCCAGGTTCAAGCGATTCTTATGCCTTAGCCTCCTGAGTAGCTGGTACTACAGGTGTGCGCCACCAGGCCTGGCTAATTTTTGTGTTTTCAGTAGAGATGGGGTTTCACCATGTTGGCCAAGCTGGTCTTGAACCCCTGACCTCAGGTGATCCGCCCGCCTTTTGGCCTCCCAAAGTGCTGGGATTACAGGCGTGAGCTACCGCGCCTGGTCCTGTACTTCTGTACTAAATTGACTAAAGGCTGCCACTGTCGTAGCAGTGCTGAGGTTGAGTTGCATATCCCACTTGGATGCTGCAGTGGAAAATATAATTTTCTGGTAAGGCATTGAAAGGTTTAGTTGAGTTTCCCTTTGAAGATAAGACTCACTACTCATTGGCCAAAGTGTACCTAAAATTGTTTAATTTTTCCTGGAAGCCATTTCTAATTGACACTTGTATTTTATGCATGTTGCTTCTATATCTCTGCAAAGAACAATTATTTGACTTGCTTTTCTTGTCATGTTACAGAATTCAATTACAATGGGAAACATTTTTGAAAAGCTCGTTAAGAGTCTACTTGGGAAAAAAGAGATGCGGATTCTTATATTGGGTTTGGATACAGCTGGAAAAACCACCATCTTGTATAAATTGAAGCTGGGGGAGACTGTGCCTACCATCCCTACAGTAGGTAAGTTAATGAAAGACCTGCAGCAATTCCAGTTTACAATTTAGTATGTTATATATATTTTTTCTGTTAGGTTCTGTTTCACCAGAGAAATATGTTTTATTTTTACATGCTGCTTCTGTTACTGAATAATCCTTTTTAAAAATCTTGTCTACTCCAAGAGCATACATTTTTAGAGGCCAAAAACCAGGTTACATTATATATCCTTTTCTTTTTTTTGACTCTGTCACCCAGACTAGAGTGCAGTGGTGCCTCTCTGCTTACTACAGTCTCAACTTCCTGGGCTCAAGTGATCCTTCCACCTCCCTCCTGAGTAGCTGGAACTACAGGCATGCACCAGCATGCCCAGCTAATTTTTGAATTTTTGGTAGAGATGGGGTCTTGCCATGTTGCCTAGGCTGGTCTCGAACTCCTGGGCTCAAGCGATCCTCCTGCCATGGTCTCCCAAAGTTCTGGGATTATAGGCGTGAGCCACCGTGCCTGACCAGGTTCTCTGTCCTTTTCTAGTGGCTTGCACATTCTTAGGTTCACAAAGGTGACATGTGAACACAGGTAGACTAAGCAAAATTAACCCTATCTGCTTGGCAAAAAAGAAAAAGATAATGGGCCAAACAGGGAGGGTAGTTCTGCCCCCCATTCCTCCCAGCTAGTGTCCCAGCAGAAGGCTGAGGTGGGAGCTGGGAATCTGCTGGTGCCTCCTCAGTCAGCCTCTGTTCCAGCTGGCCTTAGCAGCAGCATCGCATCTCTCTACACCAAGTACACTCCTGGTGCTTAGAGACGGAGTGTGATTTCTTTTCTTCACTCTGGCTCAAGCCAACTGCTTGAGATGATGTCCAACTAGAGAAATAGACAAGCTGGCTGTATTGCTCTTACTGTGAACCAGCACTGTGTTTTATGGGCTCGTTAAGAGATTTGCAAAATGAGTTTTGACAGAACTGAATCTTTGCCTTGTGAACTGCCTTTAGATCCAAACTTCTGACTGAGGATACACCCCACAGGTTGGCATGTGAACATGACTACTGTTCTGAACACTAAATTAGGCACAGGACTCAAATGATCAACTTTTTTTTTTTTTTTTTCTTTGAGATGGAGTCTCGCTCTGTCATCCAGGCTGGAGTACCGTGGCGCGATCTCGGCTCACTACAACCTCCGCCTCCTGGGTTCAAGCAATTCTCATGCCTCAGCCTCCCGAGAAAGCTGGAAATACAGACGTTCGCCACCACGCAAGGCTAATTTTTGTATTTGTAGCAGAGACAGGTTTTCACCATGTTGGCCAGGCTGGTCTGGAACTCCTGACCTCAAGTGATCTGCCCTGCTAAGTGCTGGGATTACAGGCGTGAGCCACCGCATCTGGCCTCCAAATGATCACCTTTCAACTTGGGCAGTAACTGCAGAGATTGCGTCGATTGAGGAGTGGGAAACCGATGAGAATGTTCGAGTTATGAGATGGTTGTGAGTAAGGTAGGAATTTGGTTAAATTTTCCAAATGGGTAAGCCAGTGCTGTCTAGGAGGCACTTTCTGCAGTGATTGAAATGTTCTGTCTGTGCTGTTCGAAGTGGTAGCCAATAGCTATGTGACTGTTGAGTGCTTGAAATGTGGCTAATGCAACTGAGGAACTGAACTTTTTTTTTTTTGAGATGGAATCTCGCTCTGTCACCCAGACTGGAGTGCAGTGGCGCAATCTCGGCTCACTGCAACATCCACCTCCTGAGTTCAAGTCATTCTCCTGCCTCAGCCTCCTGAGAAGCTGGGATTACAGACGTGTGCCACCATGCCCAGCTAATTTTTGTATTATTAGTGGAGACGGGGTTTTACTCTGTTAGCCAGGCTGGTCTCAAACTCCTGACCTCAGGTGATCCGCCCACCTTGGCCCCCCAAACTGTTGGAATTACAGGCATGAGCCACTGTGCCCAGCCAGGAACTGAACTTTTAATTGTATTTAACATTGTTTATTTTTTACTTATTTTTATTTGTTGATTGATTTTTGATTTTCACTTTAAGTTTAAATAGCCACATTGCTGGGCGCAGTGGCTCATGCCTATAATCCCAGCACTTCGGGAGGCTGAGGTGGGAAGATCACTTGAGATCAGGAGTTCGAGACCAGCCTGACCAACATGGTGAAATCCCATATCTACTAAAAGTACAAAAATTAGTCAGGTGTAGTGGCATGCTTCTGTAATCCCAGCTACTCGGGAGGCTAAGGCAGGAGAATCACTTGAGCCCGGGAGGCGGAGGTTGCAGTGAGCTGAGATTGCACCATTGCGCTTCAACCTAGGTTACAGAGCAAGACTCTGTCTCAAAAACTAAATAAATAGGCCGGGCGTGGTGGCTTATGCCTGTAATCTCAGCACTTTGGGAGGCCGAGGCCGGTGGATCACTTGAGGTCAGGAGTTCGAGACCAGCTTGGTCAACATGGTAAAACCCCGTCCCTACAGAAAATACAAAAAAAAAAAAAAAAAAAAAAAGGTGGGGGTGTGGTGGCAGCTGCCTGTAATCCCAGCTACTTGGGAGGCTGAGGCAGGAGAATCGCTTGAATCCGGGAGACGGAGGTTACAGTGAGCCAAGATCGCGCCATGTACTCCAGCCTGGGCAACAAGAGTGAGACTCTGTCTCAAAAACAAAACAAAACAAAAAAATAAATGAATAAACAAATAGTCACAAATGGCTAGTGATTGTATTGGACAGTGCTGGGGTAGACAGTTGTTCAATGTCATTTATTGAATAATTTTTCCATGCTGATTTGAAATGCCTTCTTTGTCACATACTAAATTCTCACTGGTATGTGTGTCTTTTTCTGGACAACTACCTTTTTCTGGACAACTACAGAGTTACATTTATATTTGAACTCTGTTACTTCAAGTGTTACTAGGGCTTGGCATAGCTTTAAAAATAATTCATTATTCATTTTCAGAGATTTCCTGGTTGTGCTTACTTGTTTATTTCTCCAAGTTAAATTTTAGATAATTTTGCTAAGTTTCCTGCCCCTGCCCCTACCATCGCTATAGGATTGGAATGGCATTGTATTTATTTATTTAGCAAGAATTTAGATTGTTGCAATGTAATGAGTGTCTCTCACTAAAATAAGGCATGACTAGAATTGAGGTTTGGAAGGGGAGCAGGCCCAGCTGACTGTGGGTCTTGACAGTGATGTTTGGGATTTGGGTGTGGGAAGCTGCCAAAGGGACATCTTTCCTTCTTTTTTTTCCTTCGTTCCTTCCCCTTCCTTCCCTTCCTTCCCTTCCTTCCCTTCCCTTCCTTCCCTGTCTTCCCTTTCTTCCCTTCTTTCCTATCCTTCCCTTCCCTTCCCTTCCTTCCCTTTCTTCCCTTCTTTCCTTTCCTTCCCTTCCCTTCCTTCCCTTCCTTCCCTTCCTTCCCTTCTTTCCCTTCTTTCCTTTCCTTCCCTTCTCTTCCTTCCCTTCCCTTCTCTTCCTTCCCTTCTTTCCCTTCTTTCCTTTCCTTCCCTCTCCTCCCTCCCCTCCCTCCCTCCCTCCCCTCCCTCCCCTTCCCTCCCTCCCTCCCTTTCTCTCTCTCTTTCTTTTCTTTTTTGGATCTTATTCTGTCATCCAGGCTGAAGTGCAGTGGCGTGATCTCAGCTCACTGCAACATCTGCTTCCCTAGCTCAAGCAATTCTCCTGTCTCAGCCTCCCAAGTAGCTGGGACTACAGGCATATGCCACCAATGCCTGGCTAATTTTTGTGTTTTTTCTGTAGAGACAGGGTTTTGCCATGTTGCCCAGGCTGGTCTCGAACTCCTGAGCTCAAAGCAATCTGCCCACCTCAGCCTCCCAGAGTGCTGGGGTTACAGGTGTGAGCCACTGTGCTCGGCCTATTCTTTCTTTTTTCAATTTTTAATTTTATTTTTTTGGGGAGATTATTCTTTCTTTTGTAAGTTTGAAAATATTCCAATCAAACATAAATGTGTAGAGAAATGATGTGACCACACTACGTGTTTTTAAGCGATTGCTTTGATTAGAAGGTGGTGACTGGATGGAGACAGGGAGAGTGGCTGAGGTGAAATTAGTTATATGGTTTCAAGAATTAAGGCTAGAAATGATGGTCTGTTGGATTAGGGTGACTATTAGCTGTTTAAGAGGTTGAATTGATAAGATATGGTAGTAGGGTTCTAGGAGTGAGAGCATCGGATGTTTCCAGGGCTCCTCTTAGGCTATCAGCTTGTGGAATGAAGTCAATGAGGGGATAACTAGCAGAGGAGGAGGTGGGGGGTAGGGACCTTAAATTCCATTTTTGACTGATACCTTGTTTTGGGGCCTTGAAGACATTTGCCAAAGCTGTTAGATTATGAGCCTGAAGCTCAGGAGAGAGGATATAAATCTCAGAGCTAGATTGGAAGATATAAATCTCAGAGTTAGTACAGAGATAGGAATGAAGTCATGGCAGTGAGTGAGATTGCGTAGGGAGGGGTGCAGAAAGAGGAGAATCGATGGGGCCAGTGAGAGCCAGGGGGACTCCATCATTGCAGGATCAGTTAAACGTGGCTGAGCTCACTAAGGAGACTGAGACGGTACGGCCATAGAGATAAAAGGAAAAGGGAAGCTGGGGAAGAGTGTCAAGGAGGGAGTGAGCAGTAGTGTCAGATAGAAGATCAGATTATGGAAGAGCTGAAAAGGCATGTGTTGGATTTGTTGACCTGGTGGTCATTGCTGACCTTAGTGAAAACCAGCTACCCAACATGGTGGAGCAGAGATAAGGTGCTGTTGCGTGAGAGGACCAAAGAAAGCTCAGTGAATATAGCCACACTTCTTTGAGACGTTTGACTTTAAAAGAGCAAATAGACCAGGCATGGTGGCTCACACCCGTAATCCCAGCACTTTGGGAGGCTAAGATGGGCAGATTGCTTGACCTGAGGAATTTGAGGCCAGCCTGAGCAACATAGTGAGACCCGTCTCTACAAAAAAAAATTTATATTTAGCTAGGTATGGTGGTTCATGCTTATAGTTCTAGCTACTTGGGAGGCTGAGGCAGGAGGATCCCTTGAGCACAGGAGTTTGAGGCTGCAGTGAGCTATGATTCTACCTCTGTGCTCCAGCCTGGCCAACACAGCAAGGCTCTGTCTCTTTTAAAAAAAAAAAAAAAAAAAAAGAGCAAATAGAGGGTGAAGATGTGAAGGAAGGAAGGAAGGAAGAAGTTGAAGGAAGGAAGAAAGAGGGTGCTGATGAAGATGTGGGGGTCAAGGAAAGGTTTGTTCTGTTGCTTTTAAAGATGTAAAAGACTTAAGCATGCCAAGGTGAACAGATTGGAGATATTCAGATATGGGAGAGAGTAGGAATAGTAAAAATTCCAGACAGTCTGGGTGGAGTGGATGTGGATCATAGAGGGAGGGAGTCGGTGAAAGAGAGTTACCCTCTTCTGTTGTTCCAAGAGGGAGGAAGAAAAGCGTGGGTAAAGATGTAGACTGGCTTTTATGCTGTATGGTGGAAATGGAAGTCAGTCCCATCAGTGGCTTCTCTGCTCTGAAGTACACTGTGATAGTCTCTTGCTGAGAGGAAGGGCAGGTGCATGGCTGGAGATTGGAGAGTAGAGAAGGTTTGAGACACCTGTCCTGATGAATGGGAGAGGGGGCCAGCACATTCTCTTTGAAGGTTATAGATATTTGACTAGCAGGCTGCTTTGTAAATTAAAAGTACTATCCACATGTTGAAATTATTTTGAATTGTTCAACCAGCACAAATCATAATTAAACATTTTCCCCCTATTTCATTTAGGTTTCCATATGGAGACGGTAGAATATAAAAATATCACCTTCACAGTCTGAGATGTTGGCAGCCACTTCAAAATGAGACCTCTGTGGCGGCATATTTTCCAGAACACAAAAGGTAAAGATTATTCAGTGTATAGCCTCGATACTGTTTCTGTGAAATGTCTCTAAAGACAGATGCTTGAAGTGATACCTTGTGGTGCTCTGCTCTATTGACACTGTCAGCCACTTCCTCTCTTAGGGTCCCCTTACTGGGGAGCTTTCTTTTGTGAGACAGAGTCTTGCCTTGTTGCCCAGGCTGGAGTGCAGTGGTGTGATCTCGGCTCCCTGCAACCTCCGTCTCCTGAGTTCAAGTGATTCTCCTGCCTCAGCCTCCCGAGTAGCTGGGGTTACAGGCATGCGCCATCATGCCTGGCCAATTTTTTTATTTTTAGTAGAGATGGGGTTTCGCCATGTTGGTCAGGCTGGTCTTGAACTTCTGATCTCAGGTGATCCACTTGCCTTGGCCTCCCAAAGTGCTGGGATTACAGGTGTGAGTCACCGCGCCCAGCCCCCCTGTCTACTTTAAATCACTACTAGGTTACTTCTAATGTCTACTAGCATGTAAATGCTATATAGTTAGATTGTATTGTTTTTTATTTGTATTTTTTTTTTACTGTTGCATTACTATTTTTATTTATTTACTTATTTATTTATTTTTTGAGATGGAGTTTCACTTTTGTTGCCCGGGCTGGAGTGCAATGGCATGATCTCAGCTCACCGCAACCTCCACCTCCTGGGTTCAAGTGATTCTCCTGCCTTAGCCTCCTGAGTAGCTGGGATTACAGGCATGCACCACCACGCTCGGCTAATTTTGTATTTTTAGTAGAGACAGGGTTTCTCCATGTTGGTCAGGCTGGTCTTGAACTCCCGACCTCAGGTGATCCACCCGCCTCGGCCTCCAAAGTTCTAGGATTACAGGCGTGAGTCACCGTGCCCGGCCTGCATTATTACTTTTTAATATTTTTGGTTCAAGGTGGGTTGAAACTGTGGATACAGAGGGCTGACTATAGTTTTTACACCCTGATTTTCATAAAATATTAACCATATGGAATCTACAAATTACTCATTTTAGAATTTATTTGGAGTCTGTTCGTTTTGAAGGTTCTCCTGCATGTACTTGGTAGTAAAGACTTACACATTCGTCAGTCTTTCCCGACTAAACACCCTAGTCGACTGTCCCTCTATATTTTATATCATTGTTTTAGCTGTCACCTTTGGCAATTAACTCTATTTGCAGTTAGCTTTTCCAGGCTATAGCTTTTAGAATGTTTTTTCTCAAAGTAGTGCATTTATTTTTTTTAACTTTTTTAGCGGAAAATCTAAAACAAATACAAAGACAGAGAAGACAACATAACGAACCCCCACGTACCTATCACCAAGCCTCAACAGTTATTAGCATTTTGCCCATCTCAGACATGATGCCTTTTATTCATACATCCTTTAGTGTTCGTTTCCAACTGATAAGGCCTTTTATATACATATATATGTAAATCTCCATGCCATTATAACATCTCCAAAATTAATACTAATTCTTTAATATCTAGCACCTAGTCCCTATTCTAATTCCCCCAGTTGTATCAAATGTATCCTGGCTGGGTGTGGTGGTTGACACCTGTAATCCCAGCACTCTGAGAGGCCAAGGCTGGTGGATCACCTGCGGTCAAGAGTTAGAGACCAGCCTGGCCAACCTGGTGAAACCCTATCTCTACTAAAAATATGCAAAAAAATTAGCCAAGCATGGTGGTGTGTGCCTGCAATCCCAGCTACTCGGGAGGCTGAGACAGGATATTCTCTTGAACCCAGGAGGTGGAGGTTGCAGTGAGCTAAGATTGCACCATTGCACCCCAGCCTTGGCAACAGGGCAAGACTCCATCTCAAAAAAAAAAGTATCTTTTCTACATCTGCTTTGTTTGCATCTGGATCAAAGTTCACACAGTGCATTTTGTTGTTTTGCCTCTTTAGTCTTTTATTCTACAGCAGTTGTTCTTTTTCTATGCCTTTTGTTTTCCTTATTTTATTTTATTTTATTTTAGAGACAGGGTCTCGTGCAGTGGCACAATCTCGGCTCACTGCAGCCTCTGCCTCCTGGAGTCAAGTGATCCTCTCACTTCAGCCTCCCAGATAGCTGGGACCACAGGTGCATACCATCACACCTAGCAAATTTTTTTATACTTTTTGTAGAGATGGGTTTTCCACCATGTTGCCCAATCTGATCTCAAACTCCTGGGCTCAAGCATCTGCCCACCTTGACCCCCCAAAGTGCTGAGACTATAGGTGTGAGCCACCTCGCCTGGCCTCCCCTTTTTTTTTTTTTTGGTTGTTAACTGTTTATTCCACATTCTGGATTTGGCTGATTACTTTATTATGGTGCCGTCTAACTTGCTTGGCTGTCTGTGGATTTCCTGTGAACTGGTTGTTTATTCTAGAGACTTGATTAGATTCTGGTTCATTTCAGAGGCAAGAATACTTCATAAGTATTCTTCCTATCCTAATACAGAAGTTTGGTTGTCACACTTAAACATTTTTTAAAAATTTTTATCGTGGCAAAATATACATAATATAAAAATTACAAGTTTATTCTTAAGTATACAATTCAGTGGCATTAAGTACATTCACCGTGTTTTATAACCTTCACCACTGTCCATTTCCACAATTTTTTCATCATCCCCAACAGAAACTTTGTATCCATTAAGCCATAACTGCCCATTCCCCTCTCTCCCAACCCTTAGTAACCTTTATTCTACTCTCTCTCTATGAATTTGCCTATTCAGTGGAATTGTATAGTAGTCTTTCGAAGTTCAGCCGCCTGGCCTCTTTCACTTAATACAGTGTTTTCAAGGTTCATCTATGCAGTAGTATGTATCAGAACTTAATTCCTTTAATGGCTGAATAATATTCTATTGTACGGATATACCACGTTTTGTTTATCCATTCATCTGTTGATGGACTCTTGAGTTGCTTCTGCCTTTTGGCTATTATGAATAATGTTGCTGTGAACATTCATGTCCAAGTATCTGTTTGAGTCCGTGCTTTGAGTTCTTTGGGTATATGCCTAGAAGTGGAATTGCTGGGTAACTATGTTTTAATTTTTTTTTTTTTTTTTTTTTTTTTTTTTTTGAGACGGAGTCTCCCTCTATTGCCCAGGCTGGAGTGCAGTGGTGTAATCTCGGCTCACTGCAACCCTGGCCTCCTGGGTTCAAGCAATTCTCCTGCCTTAGCCACCCGAGTAGCTGGGACTACAGGCGTGAGCCACCACGCCCGGCTAGTTTATTTGTATTTTTAGTAGAGACGGGGTTTCACCATATTGGCCAGGCCAGTCTCAGACTCCTGACCTTGTGGTCCACCTACCTCTGCCTCCCAAGGTGCTGGGATTACAAGCATGAGCCACTGCACCCAACCTCATTGTTTTTTTATTGTGGTAAAATACACAAAACTTAAAATTTAGCATCTTAAGCTTTTTTTTTTTTTTGGTTTTGTTTTGTTTTGTGGTAGTGATGTTTTTGTGAGATGAGGTCTCTATATGTTACTTAGATTGGTCTCGAACTCATGGGCTCAAGTGATTCTCCTGCCTCAGCCTCCTGTATAACTGGGACTACAGGTGTGCACCACTGCACCCAGCTCTATCTTAAACATTGTTAAGTGTATAGTCAGTCAAAATGTTCTGCAGCCATCACCACTATTCATTTCTGCAACTATTTTCATCTTGTAAAACTGAAACTTTGTACCTGTAAACTATAACTCCTGTTGCTTCCCCCCACCCAGTCCCCCCACTCCCTGGCAGCCACCAGCTTGTCACATTTTTAGTGATGCCAAATGATTTCAGGTGATACCAGCTTAATTCCCCTGAATTAAAATTCTCCATCAACTTTTCACCTAATCATTTTAGCATCCGTTGAAAACTATTGCCTAAACCCATTATTTTATTAGAAGTTATAAAATGGTGATTTTTTTCCCCTCCTAAATCTTGTTATTCCTCTGCATTTATTAGCTAAAATCTTTCTAAACAAAGAATTCCTTCATCAAATATTTGGTTTCCCTGAAATATAGTTTGTACAAGAAAGGCTGGAAAAATGCTTTATTCTTTTCCTTCATAGATTTTCAGAGAAACCACTGGATGCCCCAGCAACTCCCATGGTGACTCTTAGATGTTTGTATCTTCGTGTTTCGATCTGCAGATTATATATATTTTTTGATACTCAGAGCATCCATTTATCTTGGACTGGCACTTGACAACTTGGCAAACCCTTGCAGTTTCTTAACTGCAGTAAAACTAGAGCATGTGGGTTTGAACCACAGCTCTGCGGTGAAACCTTGACAGTTAGGTAATCTCGTCTGTCTCAATTTCCTCATCTTAAAATGGAGATGATACCTACTGCCTGCATCATCGGGCTTAAATTACTTATGTAAAATGCTTATGTAAAAAGCCATTTCATGGCTGGATGACAGTAGGCACTCAAAAGCCCAAATTGTTTGAGGTTTCACTTCATCATTTCTCTGGCAGAATTCTTTTTTCTTACCCTACTGGGAGTTTTCACATTCAAATAACAAGATGAAATAAATGCCTTTATTTCTTCACTCTTTTCTTCATAACAAGCCTAATTTTAGTAAGTTTCGGTGACTATTGCTTTTGATGGTAGGGAGCTGGCTGTATTCTAGGACCTTGGGGTGGGTAATTTGGACTTTTCATGAAATAGCAATTGGGAGCTGTTGGAAGAATGGACTTGCTGTGAGTGGTCTTGGATGCAGCCCTATTTTTTTTCTGCCAGTTTCTAAACATCAGGCTGTCTTTTAGTTTAAATTTTCTTCATCAGTATGTTGAGTAAGATAGAACTTAATGCTTTTAGCTCTCTATTAAAAGACATTTAACTGTGTAGGTTTCACTTGTATAGATTGGAATTTGAACAGTTTGTGGTTTCTTTTTTATTTTATTTTATTTTTATTTTTTTGAGACAGAGTCTCGCTCTGTCGCCAGGCTGGAGTGCAGTGGCACAATCTCGGCTCACTGCAACCTGCACCTCCCAGGTTCAAGCGATTCTCCTGCCTCAGCTGCCCGAGTAGCTAGGACTATAGGCGCAT